TCCTGTGCTTGGTTTCCGATCTGAAACGTGCTCAAATCTCTCCTCTTTCTCTTTGTTTGCCTGGTTTTACACCAGAAAACTGTCACAAGCTCTGCTGGCTGCTGGCAGAGCCGTGGGGGTGTCAGCCAGTGGGGAGGGGCAGCAGCAGAGCTGGGGGGCTGGCGCCTGGTTTGGAAATCGGGGCTGGGACCCCAGCCGAGCCATCAAGGCTGCACAGTGACAAGGTCAAGTGAGCAGCGTTAGGTCCTCTCCTCTTTGGAAATCTTTAGTTGGCACCCCAAAAAAAAACCCAAGTGAAGGTTGTTGAAAATGTTGTTTGTAATAAAAATAAATTTGTTCTTAATTTTTATTGTTTAAAGGAAAAAAGGTCTTTGGCCTGCTCACTTTATCAGAATTTTCCTACTAAATAAATTCTGCTCTTGTAACTTAGCCCACACCCAGGTATCAGTGCTGCCTCTTTGCCTGGTGTTAATGACTCACTTGGATGTGCGCAATCTAAATACGTACATTGATGCACAGGCTCTGAAGCTATTAAGCAGCAGAGGAGATACAGATGGTGAACTGAGAGGCCAAAGTTTTATACCCAGCTCCCAGAACTTGCACGGAGTTGGACACTTGCATTTGTTCCTTTTAAATGCCTCAAAATCTTAGGCAGGTAAAGTTCCTGTTTGCTTCTGGGAGCTCTGAGGCTGGATGAGAGCAGTGGAGGTATAATAAACTCCTGCTGGTAATGACTCCTGATTGCCAGAGTATCCTCTGCCAAAACAAGAAAAAAGCATCATCACCTTCACCTCTCTGGAGTGTTTCCCACCCAGAGGAATGCTGATGTATCTCATGCTCCGAGTGTGCGCACAGGCATCAGCACAGAGGAAGGTTTTCCCAAATGAGCATTTTGCTGGCCCTGCCACAGTGCTGAGGATGCAGGGTCTAAAACAGGTCACTGATGTCACACCAGCACATCCTCCACCATCCCACGTCCTTAAAGCAAGGTTACGCGCTTGTCTCGTGCCTGCTGGCCCTCAGCACAGCCTGCACCCCGCCGTGAGCTGCTGCGCACGCCCCAGGGCTGTTCTCTGCTGGTACCCCAGTTTTAAACAGTAAAGGCCCATATGAGAGGGGAATCATGGCATTTTTCCATTGAGGGCGTTTGGGACAGTTTTTGAGATGGAAAGTTTTTAGGATGTGGGTGATCTTGTGTTTTCTTGACATCGGTGGTCGCCCAAATGGGCCAGTTTTCAGAGTACCTCCCATTTTTCTCATAAAGGTTAATTGCATTTTAGGTGCTTCTGGCAACTCGAAAACTAAAGATGCCGCAATTTCTGACCTCAGTATGTGTGAAGAGAGGGAATTGGCTTTCAGTCACTACCACACTGGGGCATCTGCATAGGAGGCACGTACACTGGATTTATGTGTACCCCCTGTCTCAGAGCAGGATCCGAGTATGGCACTGCTCCATGTCGAAAGGAAATCACAGCTTATAATATTCAACTGGTTACTATAACCCCCACCCACCCCAGGTTTAATATTAGAACTATTTTTCACGTTGAAACCGAAATAGTACAAAATATGGGCTTGCTGTAATTGTTGTTAGATTATGTGTCACCCTGATAAGATGTAACAAATATTTTCCTACACAGCAGGGCCCGTTTCCCTGCGAGTAATGGATGGAGAAACTTCTCATAGTGTGCAGGCAATCGGTCGTAAAAACTTCGCCTAGAAGATTAATGCATTAAGTGCAACCTTTGTGGAAAATAGGAAGAAAAGAATTAAAATAATAGTTTGTTCTTTCATGTTTAATATTAATAACCAAACTTATTTGGTGGGAAAGTTCCTTGCTGCATGTGCCTTCCCACCCCTATGGGTACCTTTGTGTCAAATAAGTATTTATGTTTCTTTTTAAAGATCCTTCATCAGTAGCTATCGTATACGGTGCAGTGTTTCTTTCAACAGAACTATTTTTATCGGTAATATGAAAGACTATTTTCATGGGGAAAGCTTTGACACCAATAAGTCTGCTGGACGTCGCTTAATAGGTTAGATAAACATTGGCTCACCATTTAGCGCAGAAGGATTTTCCCTTTATATCACAGCTTTACGTCTTTTGTAGACACTTAATGGCCGTCAGAGAGATGGCACCCTCAGGAAGGAGCTCTCCAGAAACGGTGTATGGTCAGAGACGAGGCAGGGGCTTATTTGCTGCTGTACAAACATTAACGTGCAGAATGACAAAGCGAGGCCCTTCCTGTCTTGAGCTGATTTGCACCAAGCCAAGTCCTCCAGCAGCAGAACCGAGGGTTTAGGAGGAGCACGTCAGCAGGTAACAACGACCCCTCCTCGGCACACCCTGCACCTGATTCTGCTGTTCCCTATTAGAACGGTTCTTGCTCCTTTCTGGGGATTGTTTGGCACTGCAGAGCAGTGGCTGCAGCTAACTTGGCAGATGTGAGGATGGTCTTACATGACGATATAACAATTTTTATTATTTTTTTTTTTATTGCTCAAGGTGTGGGAAAAACCACTGATTTAGACTGCTTGCTGCTGCTTTTCCCCCATGTGTATTTTGAGATCTTGTTTTCTTCCTAAAGTACACTTCTGTACCTGCAGTTTGTCTCAAGTGACAGGTACCATCAGTCATGAAGTCAGCTATGAAACTAGGGTCAGATGGAACTGCTTATTTCAGTGTGTGGTGCACAGTTCACTTCTTCCTCCATCTTTGCTTGATACCTGAGGTCTGCTGGGCAATCCAGCTTGAGTTTTACAGAGGATCACTTGTTTTACTACTTGTGAGAACAGATATTTCTTCCCAGTTGTACACAGCTTGAATTTTTATAAAGACCATTTTGTAAGCAAAGAAATCATTGGTTTGCAAAAGGAGAAATAAGGGTTTCCGCCCTCTCCTGCAATGGTAGGCGGTGGGAACAGTGGTATTAAGACTTCAGTATTCGAGGAGGCACCACCCTTCACTGTCCCAGTAGGTCTTTTGCTGCTGTGTGAACAGAGACGAATTCATCAGTAAAAAGCCAATGCTGTCAAACATTGATCGGGACTTTGAGCAGCTCTGGTATTGAGAATTATTTAGGGCTTATTCAAACTTCTTTCTAAATTGGTCAGATAGATATTTCAGAAAACTCAAAAAAAAAAAAAGGAAAAAAAAAAGGTACTTAAGTAACTACATTCATCATTGCCAAGATGGACTTTTAAACTGCAGCAGAAAAAGAAAAGTTCAATTTTGACCATGCAGTAGCAGAGAGATGCGCTGGGTCTCTTTCTATCATGCCTTAGCACTAGAACAGAACGTACCATCCTGCCGCAGTAAAAAGAGATTTTAGAATTGCTGCAAAAATTAGTCTGGTGGTGTAATCGCAATCTTTATTCATCCGAAGTCAGTAGGAGAGAGGATTTTTAGGTTTGAAAGCAGGATTGCTCCTTGGCCAAAAATTTTCACAGATAAACCAAAAATCATTCATTAAATATCTCTGTCACTACTGTTTAGTTGCAGATGTAGAGAAAGGAGGAGATAGATTATTTAAAGTACAAAAGCTAATTAGGGTTGGCTGACAGAGTACTGAATTTTACTTTGAAGAATGGGACAGGTTTTCACATGACTGATATGGTAGAATGTGATCAAAACATTATTAAATCCAAACCATCCAGCTTCCTTCTAGCTTTGCTTTTTTTTTTCCCCAGCAGTCTCTGCTGTCCAGTCCACATTTCTTGGAGTTGAAAAACCATTAGCAATTTCCACAAACAGTACTTCAGCACAAGGAAGAGATAAGCCTCTAGAGCGTATGGGGGTGAGGACAGAGGTTTTTAGCAGCTGGATTCCCTCCCCAAAAAGATGATGACTGAGCTTACACGTTAGTTTTAGAAGTCAGAATTCTACAACTTAACAAGGAAGCTTTGTTACATTTGATACGTAGCAATTAAGCCTTGTGTTTATATAAACATGCATGCTATGGCTCTGTGATCGTTTCAGCTTCCCTAACTACCAGGAACTCTTAAAATAAAACCTCTTAGCTTTTTACCTTTTTAAAAGGGAAAAAAAAAAAAAGGCAATTTCTAGTGTCTGCCTAATGTAATACTACTGAGATTCTCCCACTGTGAGGAACCAACGACTTTCTGTGAGGGATCTGTGGAAGGTTTAGTACCTATAGGTTTGGTACTTGTCAGAAAGCTTCCCATTTAGGAATACTGATTAAAATTTTTGATGGGCTAAAAGTATTAATTGAAGACTTCTCCACTTTGCAGCTGCTACAAAGAAAAAGGGTATTTAAAACTGGCCTCCTGTGACAAGTTATTACTTCTTCCCTTCCCACCCTACCCCAAGAGCTCTGCTTCCTTAAGTAAGTGTACATGAAGTGTTTCAAATCACTAAACGTCTAATGAAGAATGTGAAGTTAGTCACTTTATTAAGACTTCTACATTTTTTTCCTCGTTCATCCATTTACACGGTTACATAGATTTGTATTTCAGCATTACAAGGATCTTAATCCGTGCTGTGAGCCTCTCAAGTATCCATGCCTTATGGAACAAGGACACATACTGTGTGAACAACGGACTAAGGCTAAATCTGTACAAAGTCTGTGCAGAACAGGATTTCATTTTTAGTTTGCAAATTTTTCCTGATCCTAGGTGATCAAGAAAGTGGGGAGAGAACAAAGTGGAAAAAATAGCTAACCATGATGGAAAGCAATTTTTATTTCATCTGCTTTAAGAAAATGCAAAGAAAGGTTAAGTTACTCTGGAAGAAAGGCTTTAAACAGGGCTAAGATAATTACTGTTACATATTTCTGCATTCTCCAAAGAAGTCTTAAGAAAATAAAAAACAAGACCTATAAAAAAGTAAACACTTTAGAAAGGTCCCATTACTATATCTTTCATGTGCTGACGGATCTATTTTTGTGTTGCACGTCCATTTTACTTATATTTGGCTCTGTTAATTCAAACTTATTTTGACTGTTTCTTTTGGCAGGTCACCAGCCAGGACAGACACATGCAAATTTCCAATATTCTTGAAATATTTTATTATAAAGCAGTTCAGACAAACCTTATTTCAAAAAAAAAAAATTCTCATCTGTAAAAGGAAACTATTTTAAAACAACATTTGTAAAGAAAATAGACTGGTTTTAATCATCAATTTCAGTTAGAGCTTTTCTGTAATGAAATCTAAAGACAAAACTGACGGGTCAAGAGCTATTAATTTCATATATACTCATAAAAGGGAGACTAAGATGTTACACAGACATCACGGAGCATCTTATTGTTGCTAATGAAATAGGAACACTTGATAGTGAACTCTGGCCTGACAAAGCAGTCCAACATTTAGATATTTTTCAGTCCCAAAAGAGACAAACCATTAACACTTCTCATTCAACAACTAAGCCAGCCCTGGGTAAGGGTTAAAGCCACTTCAAAGCATCTAACATAAGCTCTTCATTTCATGTACTTCTCCTGCTGATCAGCCAAGATTTTTGCTGAGGATTTGGCATCATAGAAAAGTTCATTTATTTCTTCAATATGCTCTTTCTCAATGCTGTCCTTCCCATTAATCTTGGCAAGCAGGTTAGCTGGGGTCAGTAACTGCACAGCGTACCTGCGATCAAACAAAGATGGGTGAATAATTACCACCCTGTGCATCCCAGTGAACTGAATATACGTAGAGGTGGGAGATTTGTTAAGAAACACACAGCTCTACCAGCAGCAGCAGAAGTCTGCAAGACCCTCCAGCACGTACATTCCTTAAAGCAGAAGAGAGGAGGGTTGCCACTCTCTTTTAATGTTCGCACTGTTCTGAACAGACCACATTATTGCATGGGAGAGGTTTGTCTCACTTCCAAGAGTGAGTTTCTCTACAGCGTTTTTAGACCCAGCCACACTTAACAGAAAAGCCAACTGCGCTCAACTTACCTTAGGGTTGTCTTGGTACCAATTTCCCCTAAATGGTTTAGAGCTTCTTCACTAATATTAATTCCTTCTGTCTGAGCACGAAGTTTTATGATCTGTTGGGATGAAATGAGTAAGTGAGGTACCAGCCCAAACAATGAGCACGCTATACTATTAGCTTAGTATCAGGAAACTGTCAGCTTAGAGATGAGACCTGCTATAAAACAAGACGGTGTGGAGAGTTATCCTGGTGTAACTTACCATTAAACTAGAATGTTTAGAATTCCAAGTCTTTGAATAGGCAAATATAAAGTTGAAAAACCAATTATCACAAAAGGCAGGTAAAGTAACACGTCTGGACTACTAACCCTTCATGATTCTGCATGGTTAGCAAAGTGTATCTACTACTAAGGAGCAGAATATAAGAACTTATACAAGAAAATGGAAAATGTATGCAGGAAGTAAGTGACAGCTGCAGTCTTGGGGACAGCCACACCAGTTAGTTACTAAATTTTGCAGTGTATCATTGCTGCTATACAGCAGAGCCCTCCAAAAAGCCCTACAGAGAGCTGGGCCCTTTCCTCAGCACCTCACAACACACTTTTTATTCAATTGACAAGAAGATAGTAAAATAAATCAAGAAGTTACTTTCTACGATTCACCTATTCCTGCAAGAAGAGCGGGGGCGGGGGGGATCACTGAGAAGAATCTAATCTTTCAAGAACAGTCTCAGGCTTGTACCAGTTTGAAGATCTCTACAAAGTTGGAGAGCAAGATATAACCAATAAGGCTGAGCATATAAAGCTGTAACAAAAGTGGCACAAGTCTCTCGGTAGTCCGTATTACTAGCTGAGTGATAAGGGGCAGACTGGATAATGATGTTGTGTTGTAGCGCTGAGATAACTCTGAAACTGCAAGCCTCATATAATACAGGTATTTTTCACTTTGGCAGCTTTGTAAACAAGATATCAAGAAGCACTCGTTTAAATTAAAGCCATAAAAATGCGCTAGAGGAGTCAGGGTAGGGAACAGAGTAAAAGAGAGGGGCTTGAAATGGCAGAAAGTTGTGCTAAGATAATAATACTGAATATTGGCAATGCTGCTGCAAATTGCAATTTCAAATTGAAGATTTTTTTCTATCTTTTAGATCACTCAAACATCACCTCCCATTCATTCAAGTACTGCTACTTTACTCTTCCCCTTCTTGAAACCACGTATCTTGAATGCCACATCTTCAACAACTTTTTAAAAGTAACTTTTTATCTAGCAACTTAGTAGAACCTCACCGAAGGATCAGGGCCCAAGCCATTAACCCAGCAAATACATATATAAGTAAGTTGCCATGGAACAGGAAAAGAAGCGTCTATCAGGCAAAATACATTAGAAACAAAAAGTCCCCAATATACTGTCCACTATCTGACAGCAGGTGCATACGCAAAGAAGTTTGATCACACCAATGCCTGACTAGAATGTGCATAAAAGTGAATTTTCTCCCTATTCTGGTTGCACTAAGCTAACTGTGGGCTTGCTCTCAGAGCAGAGCTACACAACAGGATTTCTATTTTATCAACACAGAGAGAAATATTTTGAACTGGTTATGAACAAACTTTCAGTAGATAAAGGGACAATTCTTGTGCTGATAAACACATCAATTGTGAAAGGCCAAGGTAAAGAGTCTCATACAGAAACATCAGCAGTGAAAACTTCTTTCTAGCATGAAAGAAAAATGGGAGCAAAAATAGAGAAATAAATGGACATCTTATTTTTAAATCTCCTCAACCGTATTCAGTTAGAAATCAAAGTTAAGTGTAACAGCTCCTCCTCTTTTCCCCAGAGGAAAAGTCATTCAGAAGCCTTAATTTAAGGGAGATCATCTGACTATGGGAACATGATTTATGGGACATAACGTCTGGACTCTATTTTTAGCTTTAGGAAATTCTACTGTAAACAATTCCTTTCCCTCACCCCTGGGGAGAGTGGAAGTCACAACTTATCCAGCTCTTCTGAAAATCAACAGTTCAGAAACAAGCTCTTTAACAGTGTTATTACCTACAAGATAATACAGCACACCAGGCAGGTAGCGTAAATAAAACCTTAACAAAAAGTAACCCAGAGTACATACTCCTGCTACCCTAACTACAGAAAATTCACATACAGTATAGAGAAGTCCAGACTGAATAAAAGTCACACTTTAAAATTTGTTTTGTATACAGACAAAACATAATGGTACTGTTAAACTACTGGGCTGTTTCTACTGTAATCTATATGCTTTAAAGTGTCCTTTTAGGCACACAGAAAAAAAATTTTCCTGAGAATGGCTCACAACAGTCGCGTGTGAAAAGCTCCTCAAACCAACTGAAAGGAAGCTCTGCTTCTACATTTATAGTCGATAAACGCCTCAGCTTCACCTTGGCACTTATCCAGCAGGAGGAGACTATTATCTCGTGACAACGCTCTCCTCCAATGACACTATCTCTTAAATAATACAAAGAATTGACATGATAAACCATAAAGTGTGTCACTTCACAGCACTGAGACACTAATAAGGGGGATCTTTGACACGATGCATCATAATGGCACCCAAGCGTTATAATCAATACACAATACATTGTGATGGCCCCACAGGAAAAGTTTCAGGCATTCAGAAGCGTATCTCTGCAATGCTTACTGTGTTTACATTTCCAAACTGGACTTGGAATATGAAAGTCTTCCCAGTTTCAGGAGACAGTCCTAGTAGGTTAAAGCTATAGTACAGGGCATAGAGGCAAAAGTGCAGTGCATGAACTTGCATTCCTCAATCCCTCTCATTTCTTACACTGAGGAACAGCCTGAGCTCTAAGATCAAAGGTCCCAAAACATGACACTTCATCTCACACCAGCTGAAAAAGCACTACCTGCTGGAACCTGCAAACTCTGGGGAAAGTGCATCTGTGCAAGAGATAAGGTCAGCTAACAATTCATGCTACTTCATGCAAGTGAGATGTCACTTTCAGCTCCACATGTACTTACCAATACAACTCATCAGTGGGTGGAAATCAGACAGAGAAACTGCATTCACAATTTTAACTAGCTTACTGTAAATGGTTACTAAAGCAGCATGCACTTATAAAGTGGTAAGCTTTCTGGCATAAACCCTGGTGACCACGAAGAGTCAAACAGCTCTATAGTAACAGAATATACAGAAACAAAGCAGTCATCCCAAGAGACAGAAGTCCAGGGATGTTTTAGAATTTCTCTTAAAATGCTGTGCATACCTGCTTCATTTCTTGGGGTGTATACAGCATGGTTCGGATAATCATCACTCTATCCAGCAGGTCCAGTGGTATTCCATGAGGAGACACTACATCCTCTGTGCCTCTAAAGGAGAAACCAAATAGAGATCAGACAGTATTTCGAATTCAGTACACTGATCTCACCAAAATCAGTTGTAAGTGACTACACATCTACTAGTTTACAATTCTTGTGTCTTCACACAGAGACACACTCCCCAGATAGACAGGAAACAGTTTAGTCTGAAGTTCATACTGGACAGCCTGAGGGAAACAAATACTATTTCTAGAGCTCTTAAACATGCCATTCAAAAATACTTAGAGGTGGTGCTTTCCTTCATGTTTCCCTGCACTGTATCCTACAATGCAGTCTTATCTAATGTTCCAAAGTATTTTCCAGCAAGGAACAAATCATTCTTACCAAGTTGTTTACTATCAGTAGAAATTATATACACTATCATCTACTTGGAGAACATCCCCTCTGTTCAATCCTCCCCCCAGTCCTTCCAGTGAATACTGCAGCAGTTTCTATTCCATGCTTGCAATCCAGCAAATTGAAAAGTGGAGGTCTATGCTTGAAGGACAGAGCAGGACCTAACCCCCCAACTATTGTAGTTGTTTGATATAAAACACTCAACAGCAAAGGCTGCAAACACACCTACTCTTGGTTTTCCAAGACCACCACAATTTGCTGTGAAGTCAAAAGTGAAAGATGATACCCAGATTTCATGAGATCTATAGAGATTGCAGGTAAAAACAGTAAAGTGCTGGTAGAGAGATACATTTCTACATAGAGTGCTAGTACTCAGGCACTGCAGCTTTGGCCATGGTTCTCCTCGGGAAATGAATCAAAATGCCCTGCAATCATCTGCTGTACTCTTGAGTAGATGGTGTTCTCTCCTCTGAAGTGACTCCTCCTCTTATGAGGTTACGGAATCAACTACACTATACAATTAATTTTTCCCCGACCCTCGTAAGAGCCATCAGCAGGCAAATCAGCATCACTAACTACTCGAGACAGCAGTAGGGTGACAGAGCACTGGAACAGGCTGCCCAGGGAGGTTGTAGAGTCTCCTTCTGTGGAGATATTCAAAACCCACCTGGATGTGATCCTGTGCGACCTGCTCTAGGTGAACCTGCTTTAGCAGAGGGATTGGACTAGATGATCTCCAGAGGTCTCTTCCAACCCCTACCGTTCTGTGATTCTGTGGAATCTTCTGTGGAAGAGCTTCCTTTTAAGGACTTAATTTAGCAGTATTAGATACCTCTATTCTATAGCAATCTTCCTTTCTTAAATCACAATTTTTTCATAACAAGGTCTGCAGTGAATCCACACTGACAGATCTCTATTTGCTTTACTTTTGCAGTAGAGAGCCTTTTTATGCCTTTGCAAAGACAGTGCTGCAATGTCCACCTTAAGGTGATAAGCCCTTCAAAAAAGTTTAACTTCAAGCCATGCAAGCAGAGCAAGATTAATACCAGATGAGCGACTAAGAGGGAAAGGAATAGCTGGTTACACAGCTGAATTAAATCAATTTAAAGAGTAGCAATCATCGCTAATGACAGCTTGTTTAGACATAATTGGACCTAGACCACAAATTAGCAGTAGAACTTAAGAATCTGAAAGAGGAGAGCACTTTTACTGAATATGTAAAGAATGCATTTTGTGGGTGCAAAATATGGAAGTGGAGGCATGAACTCCAGTGCCGATGAAACACAAGTTAGTTGGCAAGACTGAAAAATCACAAAAAGCCAGACTGATGCAGTAGGAAATAACGAAGGGTAGGGAGAGGCTGAACTGTGACATGCTTTAATAGTAAGAACAGGAAGCTTAAGTCTGATGCAATGAGGATAGCAAATGGCAAAATGATCACGAAGAAGCAGGGAAGTATGATATTAGAGATTTGTAGCTTTGGTGCTTTTGATGTCCCTAATGACGCAAGCAACCGATGTTGAGGTGTCCAAAGAGAAAGGTGTCACAGATCACTCAGGAAATAAGAAAATTAATGGCTAAAGAGGGATGTGTTAGTGGCAATAAAAGGAGTAACTCCATTCTGCTTTAACTCAGTCAGCCTGGCATTAAATGCCTGCCCATCATGAAGCTCACAAGCAGTTCTTGAGCACTGATGCAGCTCGCAACCCAGAGATTATCACAGGCGTCAGTATCAGGGACAAAAGCCTCCAAAGATACCAACACTGCTAATTCCCAGGTTTATGGACAAATGCAAACTGGAAAAATTCAACTTTAGGCATCATACCTGATAACGCAGTTTCCTCGATTGGAAGCAAAAATGACAATGGGGGAAATAGAAGATTCCAGTGCTCGGTGCAGGTATGTGAAACATTCGATATCCAGCATGTGAACTTCATCTACAAAGAGTACACCTGGGACTAGCTCTGCGATGCCTTGATCAATGTATTTGTTTACCACCTTATTTATCTCTCCTCGAAGTTTGTCTGAGAACAAAAAGAAACTGTTACTTGTTCTGCTAGTGAACTACAGGTCTGTATGAAAGACTTAAAGCAAGTAAAATTCTCCTTGAACTGTTTCATGGTTTGGTATCTTACCACCACAGGGAAAAAAAAAAATCTCTGACACTAAAATTCATCCAGCCCTGTACTGGGGAGACATCTGTGCAACAAAGTATTCCTATTGTGAACTCCCAGCGCTTAATTGGGCTAGTTTGTCCCCTCACATGGCGTGTGAAAAACTATGACTTTTGTGGGTCTGGGGAGTTTGGCGGGGGAGCGGGAGAGGGGAAGCTAGTCAAACCTCAGTTTAAAACATGAAACTTGACAAAAGTTTCCAAGCATGGCTGAAAAGAACATTGCTAAAAGAATAAAACATTGCTACTGTATTTCAGCAAAGAAGTTGTGTTTAACAACAACAACAAAAAAATAGGGCTATATAAATTTCTGTGAACATATGGACCTCAAAGCTATGCAAGATGCTACACCAATAAATCTGACATTAGAATACACAAAGTGACCTCTGGAACAGACAAAATACTTCAAAGGACAGCTGTTTAAGTTAGGTATTAGAACAGACTTTGATCTAAATTTAGATAGTCACCAATTGAAACATCATTTTTTCATAGCAAAAAAGGAGAATAGATCTTTCTGTCAACTTTTTTTTTCATCCAATGATCTGTAGGTAGGAAGAACAGCAGTGCACTTTACAGCAGCCGTCTATTGACTTGATGCTCTGAGGTATTGTCCTGGGTTTGGCTGGGATAATTTTCTTCCTAGTAGCTGGTACAGGTGCTGTGTTTTGGATTTAGTCTGAGAACAACGTTGGTAACACACTGCTGTTTTAGTTGTTGCTAAGTAGAGCTTATTCTAAGTTCAGGGATTTTCAGTTTCCCACGCTCTGCCAGCAAGCAGGTGCACAAGAAGCTGGGAGGGAGCATGGCCAGGACAGCTGACCCGAACTAGCCAAAGGGATATTCCATTCCATCGAACATCATGCTCAACATATCAACTGGGGGAAGCTGGCCAGGGGGCGTGGGTCTCGCTGCTCAGGCATCAGTCAGCGGGTGGCGAGCAACTGCGCTGTGCATCACTTGTCTTTTCTTGAGTTTTATTTCTCTCTTCTTTCGTTATATTCCTTTTCATTACCACTATTATTTTTTTAGTTTAGTTACTAAACTGTTCTTATCTCAACCCATGAGTTTTACTACTTTTTTTTTTCCCCAGTTCTCCTTCCCATGCCACTGGGAGGGGGGAGGAGAGAGCGAGCCGCTACGTGATGCTTGGTTGTTGGCTGGGATTAAACCACAACAGGTGTCTAAACCAAACGAAGGTTAGAGTCTTTAGAAGACATTTTTCTACTCCACAGAAATTCAGCATGGTTGCTTCACAAAAGCATGCATCCTAACAATGTTTTTTTAGATTTGTTGTTGTTGCTGTTCAGTTTGGCTCTGTCAAAGAGTGAACCTCACACTCTCTGACAGGAGTGATTTGAGAAAGGGGAATGGCACTAGCATCCTAACGTCTTTCTCCCCAGGAAGATAGCTGCAGAGTAGAGTATATATTTTATCACTCTATATATTAACCAATAACATGTTGTACTGTTTCCAGCCATTGCAATTCTAGCAGCTATATCACTGCTTTTAGAAATTTGAGTATTTATGAATAAATATTATATAGGCATTCATTTAGAGATGGTGCATGAATAACCCTATTTTTAATCCTTTTCTAACTGGCAAACATATAGATTATATTGGTCTAAAAATATCATGCAAGATTCATACCAGTAATTTCAGTTTTCTTTGGCTTCATCAGTTGTCCCATCATAGAAAGGATGTCTTGCCCACCCTAGGAAAAGAAAGTTACAGATTAACTATGAGGTCTCCTAGTGAGCACATACCATGAGAATTTTATAAATCAGGAATTGGTTAAAGAAGTTGTTTCTTGCAGTTAACTTGATACTTTATATCAGCAGTGGCTCATAATCTGTCAAAGGTTAGGTCACTTCACTGCAGCCGTATTCTAAACACCATCACTTAGCTACCTCCTCACCCTTTCTTTAGCCTTGTTTGTTTGGAGAACATAAAAAAAAACCAAAATGAAATATCTTCTTTTAAAAAAATTGACACACAGCAGCTCACAAGGCCTGAAATTGTCAGGGAACACAGAGACTTGGATTGCTTGCATGCACAGTAGGTGTTCAACTTCTAAACACAGGAACAATTATGCAGAGTTTTAATAGTTTTGAACACCTTGATTTTTAGCATGTAAATCATTATTGGAGAACGGATGTTTATTTTGAAATGGAGTAAGTTAAGGGCTTGTAGTGTCATACTGTAGGGATGCCAGCCTTTAAACAAAGATACTGCATTGTTAGTGGCTTTTGTTTATCAATTCCCTCAACACTGGGTTTATGTTAAGATATAGCAAGGAACAATTCTCCTACTTCCAATTTTTTGCTGCAATGTATTCAGAGCTCTACTGAAAGTCACAAGAAAATTTAAGAAGAGGTTATGAAACATTTCTGAAGTAAGCAGGGACATCAACAGGATCTGCAGCAGTCAAAAATACTTAGTGACCTTTTATCATAGTGCTTGCAGTGTCCATTTCATGACCTCAAAATCATAAACGCATGGCACTACAAATTATTCTGTATTCAGAACTTTCAATAAATAAAATGATGCAGAGCTGGCTGCTGCTACCTCACATCTGCAGGCAGCTTCCTTTTGGAGAGAAAGTAATAATCTCTTTTCCTGGTCAAGAGGAGCAGCCCACACAGCTCTTTTTCTGGAGGGGATGGGGCACAGTTGTGCAGGGAAGGGCAGAGCAAGGTCTAGATTATGCATCAACTGTGAAGGCAGGGGATCCCAAATATCCACGTGGAAGGTCCGCTATGGCTGTAAGGCTGTTCTCTGTAGTGTTAGAAAATGTACTCTGGTAAGTACTCCATGACCAGGAGCATGAATCCTAACCTAGCAACTGCCTCTCTAACCTATATGGCAGGGCACTGAGGTAGCCAACTGCAGCATGACCTCCTTCTAGAGAGAGGAGAGGTAGACGGGCCTTCACGGTGTAACACCTACCGCTTTTCCTATAACGGAATCTTTGAGGGTGATTTAGGACAGCTCAACTTTCTGCATCTCCTTGATTATTCTAGTAACGATCATATCTATGTCAAACAACTTTTCTGTAAAGACTTAATCTGTGGAGTCAGATACCTGAGGTCGAGCATTGGCCACATCCAAGTCATGCAGGGTGACATCCTGAATAATTTCCTTTTTCTTGTGCACATCACCCTTTGGTAAGGGAACATACTCTTCAGCTTCAAGGTCAAATTCCGTAGCATAGATATCACACCTGCCTTGCCTCTGAGGGAAAGCAGAGCAAAGAAACCCAGGTATAGAATTAGTTTCAGTGCCAAAACCTTGAGTGACATGAACTTGATAAAGGGCTTAGTTCACAATTCCAGTCCTGACAAGCTTCAGCTGACAATTCAGACATCCCGCTCCCTGCTTAGCAACAGGCATACCCTATCTACTGATCAAAGCTCAAAAACTCTATTGAAAAATACCTGATATTTTCAGTGGTAAGAATATTCCACTCCTCTCTCCCCTTCTTTTAACCATATGCAATTCTTGCTAAAGGACAAATCCAGTAGATAAACTAGAGATTGGGAGAACTGTTCAAGACTCCTTTGTAGGTGGGTGATTTATTATATGATACAAAATATTATGCTCATCCATTAAACAGCAAGTATCGCTGTACACTACTTTCTAAATCAGATATGAAAAGAATGCTAACTAATGCAGTATTCCCTTCTACATGTATATATCTTGTGGAGAAAATACCAGAGCGATAAAAGAAAGATTAAATGCACTGCACATGTCAGCCTGAAAATGACTAAAGTTGCTTGGTTCTTCCCCGCTTCCCTTAAAGATGTCTTGATCTTACAGAAAAGAAAACTCATCCAGACAGCATCAGTGATAGCTTCCTTGCCAGATGACCTTAATTGTGAACCAGATGACCATGTTCTTTCAGTGCAAGAGAGAATTTTCTCTCCAGATAAGGAAAACACTGGGCTCTTTTTAAAACTTCCATGTAACCATTTCATGTCAGTTAAGGTTAATAAATCAGAGAGCCTTCTGACAAAGGCAGAGAAAGGTTTGCAAGAATACATACACCTGCATAAAAGTGCAGAACTTTTCCTTTACCTTGACGGCTCCACTGTTTGCTTCAATATAAATAACGTCGCCTGTTTCCACTCGCTCCTTCTGCAAGCTTTCAAATATGCTTGGGTCCAGCTGGAGACAAGTGAACATCACAGTTGGTCAAAACAGTTCCATATTGTTATAATAATCAAGGAAAAGAAATTTAGTCTAAAGCTCACTCCCACTAGACAAAATTAAACTGCAACTCCCTCCAACAGTATCTCTAGGATTTTATAAAGCTGTAACACTTGGAGTAGCAACAGAGAATAAATCTGAAAGAAAGAAGAACTTACTTTCTTACCAAAAAAAAAATCTGCTATCTGCAGGAAATGATAGTAAGTCCCAGAAACATAATGATACCAGTTACTATCACAAAATATGCCTTTGTATAATGTGACAGTATATTTATACCTAGCAAGCAGCACTTCTCTTGCTTTCTGGCAAAACTGTTATTAAAAATCTGGGTATAGCATGGAATTATACTACTTGATTTCCTCAGCCTTTATCCTCTGTAGAGCTGCGTGAAGGAGAGAGGATGTGGAATATGTTAGATGCTTTTGTTTCTCTCAGTAGGTTTATTCACTTTTGCTCTGCATTTTCTTGTTTTCAGACTGAACAAATGCAAGATGATCCTTAGCAACAGATACAGCTTTCAGTTCTCTTGTACTCTAACTGACAGGGAAATTGAACAACATGGACAGAGACTTGTACAAGAAAACAAAGGGAAAGTGGGTCTGAGCTGGCAACACACCAGCTCAATTTCCAGTTCTCTATCAAATATTCACTAGAGCATATCTCCCCATGTAGAAAGAAGGGATGTGACAGAAAGAATAATTTATACTAAAGCAAGCAAGACTTCCCAAAAATCATCCTCAAAAATTCAGTCGAGAATTGTGAAAACAAAAAACAAACAAGACCCTTGTATGTGTTATCATGAATGTGAATTTATAGCCAGGGTCAGAGTGAGCGTACCACAGACTGAGATCATAGTTCAGATTCCCAACCCAGCCCATTTTTCTGTGGTACTAGTAATGCTGCAAAACTGCATCAGGACCTCTTTCTACTTAAACTCTCCTTTAACTCATTGAGGACATACAAGTGTGTGCTGCCAAACAGAAAAATAACAGGGGCTGCTAACTGACCGATGGGTTTATCCCCAATTTCAATTTGTAGGAGGCAAGACTAACATCTAAATATTCTACTCAAAGCAGATATACATACATGCTCAGGAGTAGGATAAAGTTGTCTAGCAAAAGACAACAGCCTCCTGGCATCCCCACTCTACAGAGATGGGGATCAAGAGCTTGAAATGGAAATAAGAAGTGCCAATAACAGAAGATGCAGACCTGAAATACCTCAGGAGATTTTTGAGACTCTACCATACATACCTTCAGCTGCTTGGTTCCCTTTGCAGTTTTGAGTCCTATAATTACGTGGCTGATGGTTTTGCCATACCCCCCCATAGGATTTTCAGTCTCACATGGAGTTAGTTCTGTGACTTCTCCTTCATAAACCTCCTTGGTCTCTTTAATCCTCAACCCTGCAAGAAATTGTTTAGAATAGTTTCAGTACACAAATCAATGGCTGTATACACTCAGGAGTCTGCTGCATTACTGCCAGCAGAATGTAACACATTAGTAGGCTACACTACATTTAACAGTAAATTTTTACTTTTAAAAGTAGAAAGATGAATTATCGTTGTCTTCTCCAATATTAAGTGAGAAGATTCATCTTGTGTATTAAGAATGGAAGTTCAGGCCAAGTTCTAACCTGCAAAGCAGTTTAATAAACTCTAAGAAATTATTTTCTTCTGTTTGTTAGTATTAGTTCTTGAAGCAAATGTCAGTATCCTCTCTCCTTACCCTCCCTCAAAGAGGGGATTTGCTCTATTTCTTCCCCTACACTAAAGTGGGAGAAACAGATCATCTTACAAAACTAGTGACGCCGATGTGACTTACACAATTTTTGAACCGTCAGAAAAGCCATACACAGTAAAGAAAAAGAAAGGAAAAAAAAAAGTAACTTCATAAAAAACTTTACATTTTAGCAACTGAATTAAAAATAACATACCAGGTATTGTGCTAGAACCTCCTAAAATTAAGAAAAGGTTAACGTATCATTTAAAATACTTTTCAAGTTAATAGCAAAAGATGAGCTAGATAAAATTTAGCAGAAACTGCTGTAAAACAAATTCAAAACTGTTTCAAAATAGCTGACAATGACATCCTTACTTTGTCGTTTTTCAGCCAGCCAAGCAATCATCACAGTATCTGGGTATCTTCTATTCTAGTCACCACTGTTGTAATCAACTAAGTTATTTTAAATTGATGAATAATATAGAGCCCAAGAGTTTTACTGTTAGACTGTTCCAAAGAAAAATCACTATCATCACCACCACCACTACAATTATGCAGATGTTCTAACTACATCAAAGTTCAAAGAACCCACATCTGAAGAGACTCCACAAAGTATTTTATGAGACACACATGCCATACCAAAAATAATGAATGGGCTGTAACAAGATATAAGGAAGTCATCCTGCCTAGTCTGAGGCTATTAGGAGTTTATAAAACTTTCCTTGTTCCATAACTTTTCATTTTGCTTTGAAATAGATCAGACACTTCACCGGTAATCTTGAGTTGCTGATAGGGGGAATATGAAGAACTGACAAATATGAGTCTGTCTCCCTCTACTGGACCCAAATTAAGACTAGGATTTGAAATGTGAGAAGTAGGTTAATTGTGGATAACATGATACTTGCTTGGTTGCTTGGTTAGTTTCAGTGATTTTTTTTTTTAGACAGTTTTTCAGGTGTGCCAAAATATCAGGCAAAAAAAATTAACGAATGTTTGAGTTACAAAACCAACCCAGACAAGGTTGCATCACATGGGCTACATATGCAAGGAATGTGAAGCAATATGGGAATCTGTACAGTAAAACTGCTGGTGCTGAGAACTGGAAATTGACAGGTTTGGTTTTCCTTTTTGTTTTGTTTTTAACCTTTCAGCACAAGCTCTATTCGGCTAAAGCACACCTTTCAGTTTCATCTGAAGAGAATCCAATTCACACGCTCAGAGTTTGTTCCACAACACAAAGCAAAGCTGAGTCAGCGAGCACAACCTAGAGATTTGCTTCAGAAGCATGCCTCTAATCTAAACTAAAGTGCTTATATAGATGTGTCTATAGAAAATATTTACAGATGAACATGATCTGAACACAGGAAATTGATGCTTTGAACTTGCTGCTGATTATCCTTTGTTTTCAAATTAATCTGCATGTATCAACTACAAACTTCATTCTCAAAAGAGCGTTTAAGTTAAATAGAGGCATTTCCTACTTACAAATCAGAGGCAGGAGTCTAAGGAGGCAATTGTGGGCTATTTCACAGTTTGGTTCAATAGCACTATATGGAGTTAAATAGTGCTTGTTTGATTTACTGGCAGTTACAATTTGGAGGCACAGGGAACAGATATGCTATTTAAGTGGCTATTCAAGTAGTTATTTTTTACTGCAACTGAGCTCTAACATTAGCTACTGTCATCATCCTTGCCAGCTGCTAATAAGCTCTATACAGGATTAATCTCTCTCAGCTGAAGTTTTTTTAACCTGTACCATTCCATTTTCTCATTTCCCACTCTGTCCTTTTACGTTTCTTAGGTATTACAACCTCTCTACTATACCTCAAGCAGTACTCGGCCATGAGACCATGTCAAGTCTGTTATTAAATGACTCCCAACAATAAAAATTCTGTAAACTCAGAGTCATCCCAGCTTCCCTATACAGTGATGGGTCCAAACCAGTCAGACTCTGTTGTTCCCAAGAAAAAAAAGTTAAAATTGATGTTAACATCCGTGGTCATTTTTATAGATTGAGGTGGGTAAACCCTCTGAAAGTAAAATGCACAATATGAGCAATAGACGATGTGTACAGAATCTGCTAAAAAGGAATTGTACCCCTCTCCCAAAAAAAAAAACCAACCCAAACAAACAAAAAGCAAAACAAACCAGAAACCCTAAATGAATACTTTGAGTACTGGTTCACATGTGAGCTGAAGCTTCTCTTGCACCCAGTCACAGCTGACATTGTACTGTGCATGACATTATTTTTTTTTAAAAACAGACACTTGTAAATTATCTGTTTACCAGCAGGGAAGTTAAAACATAACTGATATTTAAAAATAATTGGAAAATGTTCCATTTCGATAAATGGTGGTTACTAGTCCTTTCAAATATTTCAGAGATTTTTTTTTTTTACACTGACAAAAATATTCAATAAAGGCTGTGTTATGAAAATGTGACATGGAATTCAACAGAAAGGAATAAAAGAAGTTCCATCTTTCATTAACACCAATATTTGTTTAGAAGCGTCTCTCTATTGACATTCAGGGAATGCAGGGAACTAACAATGTAGCTGGCTGTTAAACCTTAGAGAGTTAAAATACTGCTATCTCTAGAAATGACAACATGGATGGCATAAGTTTCATCCGTTGGTTCAAGTTTCCAAATCTCTGACAGGGAACTTCATCACATCAAGGAAATATTGCAGACTACTCAGCCTCTGGCTTCCCTCCCCCAGGCCCTGCCAGATTCATGGTAACCAGAAGACCAGAGACTACTGAGAGTTGCTTTCTTATAGAAGTCAATAAAATACTTTTGTTTCATTGCAGAACTGAGAGAAGACTTCATCTTACTGCCACCAAATACTTAGATGACGTCCAAGGGGAAACATGCTACAGAAACCAGGAAAATTAACTGTTAATATGTCCAGCACTAAAAGCAGTTAGGCTATCTTTAGCCAATCCTCATACAAACAAGGGCCACTTCTAACTGCATTTATCAGCTGTCAGCAGTGAGGATATAAGAGATTTTAGATACTCATTGAGGTCATGTTGCAAATTTAACCAATTTACATCGAGCTTGTAGAAGCACTCTAGAATGGAGGAAGACATTAAGTTAAAGTGCTTATTTTGTTGGTGTGGAACTTTCTTTGTGCTCACTGGAATACTAAGTCAGGCTAACGTTGCCATTTGATTAAGACCGTTTGCTTAGTAGGGTGAAATTACCAAAATAAAAAAGGAGAGCGCATTTTTCTGTCTACAAGTATTTCTGCGAATGAAAGAAACTAAAAATAATTTTTCTTTCAGCTTTATTCAGAGTCACAGGCAAAACCAGGAGATGAACCTGGAGGATGAGAAGAGAATCTGGGGAAACAGTATAAACCACAATACACCAATTAAATTACGGTTTATAAACAGAAAACCTGACTCCAGAAAATGTGGAAGAGATTCACTAGATTAAGATCAACACTGAAAACCCTCGTGACCACTGAAAATTTTTTGCTTTTCAGACGATCAGGAAAAAGCAAAATAAACATCATTCAGATAGTCAATTAATTCTTCTGTTTTTCTGGAGCTTACCAATTGCACGTCGGAAGTTTTCCATTAGAACTTCTGTTTTCTTGATCTCAGTAGAATAGACCTCACTTCCAACCATAGGACAAAAGGGAACTTTACTTCCCAGTTCCTGAGCAATAGCTAAAGCCAAAGCAGTCTTAAAAAAAACAAACAAACAACAAACACAAACAACAAACGAAAACCAAAACCCACATGTTAATTTTCATGAGAATTAACAAAGGATTCTTTCTGCACAAAGTTAACTTTCCTCATCATATCACCTTCCATATATCAGCCATCAATTTAATATTAAGACATACATTTCTTCCATATAACAACCCTCCTCCCCCCAAAAACAGGTTAGACACATAAAAAGTGACTTTTATCAAAGCTTATAAAACACCTGAAAGAAACTGGACATTTGAATTTGACATCTAATACAAATGCAAAAAGCCGTAAATAGCACAGGGAAAAAAAATTAACAGAGTAAAAACTATTTCACCTTTTAACAGAAAATTAACTTCTAAGACTCTTCTTCAGAGACCACATTACCTACGTGTTTGGTAAACTACAAGAGGTGGTTTCACACTAATGATGCCTGAACATACCACTGGATGCTGCCAATGTTGATGACACGGCAAAAATTAAAATATAAAGCAGGAAGCCACGTCAATACATTGATGGAAAAAAAATCCAGTAGATGAAAACATTATGTAACCACTGCCCTAACATGGTTTTGACAACGTATTAAAACAGAATAGACTTGGGAATACTTTACTTCATATCAAAAAAGGAAAATAATACCTTGCCAGTTCCAGGAGGTCCTGCCAACAGCACAGCTCTGCCAGCCATTTTCTTGCTTTTGATTAGTTCCACTATAACCCCACAAGCCTGTAAGTTAAATGAGCATTTACGCTGTTAACACAAGTATTGCTATAATATCTTTTGTTCCTATATTACTAAAAGGGTTTACAAATATCAGGCCTTGTGAGCCCATCAAAAATAAAGAGGATTTCAATCTCACACACACAAAAAAAGGAGACAAGATCAGAAAAACCTACTTCCTACAATCATTTTATGACACAAGCATTAAAAAAAAAAAAAAAAAAAAAAATCACAGGCAGTAAAACTCAACCTAAGAGCACAGCCGCCTTTTCCCCTCCTGGTGTTGAAAAAAAAGGCAGGAAATGAATCTTTGACTTTCAGAGCGACAGACCAGCTAAAGCACTCGCCGGGGGCCAGACACTGGATTGAAACGGAAGCTCCGGTCCCCACTTGCACCAAATCTCTCGACTTTTGGCACGTTTCATTGCCTTCGGGACCCCAATCTCTACGCCTAAAACCCGGCAGACAGTCGCCTGCCCTCGCCACCAGCTAATGCAAAAGTAGCGGCGTAAGGAACAGCTCTGGCGACCCGCATCGCTTCCCGCAGCAGCGGAACACACGGAGGAGCCCCGCCA